GGTTCCAGCCCACCAACCCCTCCCCGGGAGAAAGAAGCGATCGGCTTCCATTAGAGTGCCAGCCTGGGAAACCCTAGCAGTCGGAGTGGATGTGACGGCACCCAGCAGCCACAGCCCAGACTTCAAAGCCTCGCTAAAGGCCACCTCCTGCCGGAAGCCTCTCGGATCCTTCACGGCTAGCTCTCTTCTGGAAGCTTGGCCCGGAACGAACCCTTTCCTGCGCGGTTATCCAGTGCCTGGCGTGTGGTTCGGTGTGTGCCTCGAGCCACACAGCGAACAGAACCTGGAACTTGGCCGTCACTGCAGACGGCAGAGCAGCAGGGGTGAAGAGCATGAACTCTGGCGTTGAAGTGCAGCTTGGGCACCAGCCCTGGGACCCTGGGCACCTCTCTGAGCCTTAGTTCCCTCGTCTAGAAGATGGGGATAACAGCTCCTGCCTCGAGGAGCCCTGAGACTTCGATGAGATCGTGCGCATCAAGCCCTCTGCCACATGCCCGAAGCTGTGAGGCCGTGCTCACAGGCCCCAGCCCGGCGGGGGCATCCTCCTGGGATGTGTTGGTCAGTGGAGGGATCAAGACAATGAGGCACAGGGCCTGCCCCCCAGGACACTCCTGGAGGCCTGGGCTGTCACCTTCGTCACATCCTCTTGAGGTCCAATGCACCGTGTGGGCCACGGTGATGGTGAGTGGTAGGAGTGGCTGGATGTCTGGAGACGAGGGTTTAGTCTGTGTGACCTGGGGACTGTCACTGCTCCTGTGAGCCTCAGCGTCACTAGCCCAGCCTCACTAACCCAAAGATCTGGTGGGGCTCCTGTGAGGACGGATGGAGCACCTTCCTGCAGCCTGGTCAATGCAGGCTCCTCCGTGCTGTGGGCCCCTTGGGGTGAGTAGATGGATTTGTGCCCAAGCAGAAGACTTGTGCAAAACGTGACCTCAAAGAAGATGGGGAAAGAGGCAGTGGCCCTTACCATCTCCCCGGCCCGGGAAGCATTGGTCAGCACATCTTCCAGCCACTGGAACTGCTGGCCCGGGTCGGCCATGCCGGCTGTCCGCTCGTTGTTGCTGTAGTACAGATTGGTGTTGAGGACCACGATGCGCCCAGCCCTGCTCGGACCCGGCAGCTTCTCAGAGTAGAAGGCACCTGGGGTGTCACAACCAGGGAGAAGTCTGAAAGGGTCCTCGGCCTCAGGCCAGACATGCCCCTACCTCCTCCCCTTTGCTCGCCTACCTTCTCTGTCTTTCCCTGGCAGAGAGAAAGAAGGGAAGGCCCTCCATCCCTCCCATAGGAGTGGCATCAGGAATCAGTGTAGCCAAATCAAGAGCCAAGACTCTGGAGCCAGGATTCCAGGATCCGGGCTCATTAACTCATCAACTGTGCCACTTGAGAAAGTACCTGGAGCTCGCTAGGCCCCAGTTTCTTCATCTGCATAATGGGTGGGTTTACCCCTCCAGATCCACGTTTCACCCTCTTCATCCTACTCTCTGCCCCAGGAGACTGATCTTTGTGGACTAATTGTGGCTTCCATGCCTGTGGGCTTCTGGTTGGTCTGACCAGCGGAGAGGTCCAGCAACCGAAGGAAGGAAGACACTGGGGTCAGGCTCACCTTTGGCTGGCTCATCACTGGACCAGTGGTGATCGTCATCATCACCCTCCCCTGCCCCAAGAAGCATTTGGCAATATCCAGGACATTTTTGATTGGCACAACGGAGGGGTACTGCGGCTGTCTGGGATACTGCTAAACACCAGCCAAGGTGCAGGACAGCAGCCCTGCAAAGAACTGCCCAACCCCAAAGCACACTGCTGAGGCTGGGCGAAATCAGTATTTATTGTGTGGAGTTGTTGCCAGGACAAAATTCAACCAGAGCCTGGCACACCCCTAAGTGCTCTTTGATGAGTAAACGGTGTTAGTACCTTGTTTGAAGAGCGCAACGGAGTCATTACTGAGCCAGGGTCTCCACAGTTCAGCCACCTGGTTATAGATACTGTTGCTTCCAGCTGGAAGTTGGTTTTTGGGGTGAAAGTCATGATTTCCCAAAGCAGCATAGACCTTAGTATCTTGGAGGGAAAGATGAAACATAAAAATACATGCTGATGTACATATGTAAATATTTATATGATGTTGGGGAAATAGATCTATGTACATATATTTATAGGTTAATATTAAGGTAGCAGATGGATATTGGGCCTCCACTCAAGAATGCAAGAACACTTTGTTCTATTAAACTGGCATTCCATGATGCTCACCTTCCCAACATGATCGCCGAA